CTCTCTTCAAGCCGCGCGCGGTCCTGCGGCTGCACGAGCCGCGCGCGGCTCATCCGACTACTTCAGATGGAAGGCGGGCAGTGACCGCGTGAAGCGGTCACGTGTCCCGCCTGAAACTAAGAGCGCGCCGCGAGTCTCGGGCGCGCTCTTAAAGAGACAGTGGGAGCCTAATTGCCAAAAGGCTCCCATTGGCTCCTGTCATACCACACTCCCTATACAATTACCTATAGTGGGTGTGGAAGTGACAGGAGCCAATCACTTTGGTTTAAAAGCTATTTAACTTACCTTTTTCCCTTAGCTCGTTGCCCTATCGTGGTTTCTGTTTCAGTTCCCTTTAGCGCTTGTGGTGTTCAGTTGTGTTTTCTCGTATTGACTTTGGCTTCGTATTCTGACTTCGTTTTCGCTTTATCCTTATCTGTACTGTTTGCCGGCTTGCTGTTTTCCGTGTACCAGACCCCGGCTTGTCCTAGTTTACGCTGTCTCTCTGTGCCCTTGACCTCGGTTTGTTCCTGGCTCTGTCTCCTCTCATATACGTCGAGTCCGGCCATTCTAAGGTCCGGTAGACGTATCTCTCCTCTGTATTTGCCTCTGTTTAGCTGGATCCTGCGTGTAGGGGTATATTCTCGTTACAGTGTGTGTGTGTGTGAGTGTGTCTGTTAGTGTGTGTGTTAGTGTGTCTGTTAGTGTGTCTGTGTGTGTGTGTGTCTGACTGTTAATGTGTGTGTGTCTGACTGTTAGTGTGTGTGTGTCAGTGAGTGTTTGTGTCTGCTAGTGTGTGTCTGCTAGTGAGTGAGTGTGTTTGTGTGTGTCTGACTGTGTGTGTATGTTTGCCTGTGAGTGTGTGTGTCAGTGAGTGTGTGTGTGTGTGTGTCTGCTAGTGTGTGTCTGTGTGTGTGTCAGTGAGTTTGTGTTTCTGTTAGCTAGTGTATGCGTATCTGTCAGTGAGTGTGTGTGTGTGTGTGTGTATTTAGAAGGCGGGGCGGGGGGAAGGGATGGGTGGGGGTCGCGCGCGCGTTGGGAGGGGGGGTTTGGGCAGCACAAAACCAGGATACACCACTGGCTGTAGTGTGTGTGTGTGTGTATATATATATATATATATATATATATATATATTTGGACGTTTTGTATGTGTGAGGGGCGCAGTGTGTGGTGTGTGTGTGTGAAGGGTGCAGTGTGTGTGTGTGTGTGTAAGAGGGGTGCTGTGTGTGAGGGTGTTTTTATCTGCTCTCACATTCTAGGTTTTCTAATTTTCTTTGTCTGTTAACTCACTGAGGGTTATTTTACATATTATATATACCGTATTTATCGGCGTATAACACGCACTTTTTCTCCCTGAATATAGGGGGGAAATTATGGGTGCGTGTTATACGCCGGCCCTTTAAATGCTGCAGCCGCCTGAGCGCTCTGTCAAGAGCGGTCAGGCGGCTGCAGTTGGTTCTCACCTCTCCTGTAGCGTGGCCGAGCTGCTCTGCTGTCCGCGGTGGCCGGCCGGAGTGATAGGAAGGTGCACGCTCAGTGTGCACCTTCCTGTCAGTCCGACCGGGTACAGGAAACAGAAACTCCTGTTCCGCGCGGAACAGGAGTTTCTGTTTCCTGTACCCGGTCGGACTGACAGGAAGGTGCACACTGAGCGTGCACCTTCCTATCACTCCGGCCGGGCACCGCGGACAGCAGAGCAGCTCGGCCACGCTACAGGGGAGGGGGGTAAGAAGGGGGGGGAGTAAAAGAGGGGGAGGGGGGGTAAGAAGGGGTAACAGAGGGGGAGGGGGGGGTAAGAAGGGGAGTAAGAAAGGGGGGTAAGAAGAGGGGAGGGGGGGAGTAAGAAGGGGTAAGAGGGGAAGTAAGAAGAGGGGGAGGGGGAGTAAGAAAGGGGGGTAAGAAGAGGGGGAGGGGGGAGTAAGAAGGGGGTAAGAAGTTCTTTATTTGAAATTTAAGTTTGTTTTTTTTCCTGAAATTTCTTTCTTAAAATGAGGTGCGTGTTATACGCCGGTGCGTGTTATACGCCGATAAATACGGTATATATATATGTGTGTGTGTGCTGTATTTGTGTGGGAGTGTGCTGTGTGAGCGAGGGTGCTGTGGGAGCGAGGGAGCTGTGTCTGTCTGAGGGTGCTGTGTCTGTCTGAGGGTGCTGTGTGCGTCTGAGGGTGCTGTGTGAGTGGGGGTGCTGTGTGAGTGAGGGTGCTGTGTGTGTCTGGGGGTGCTGTGTGTGTCTGGGTAACCGCGGCAACGCTCAGACCTCGCGAGAGGACCCGGCGGAGCTGCTGGCTAGAGCTCCGCCTGTCCTCTCCTCCCTCCCTCACTCACTCCCCAGCCAGCGGCCGCTTGTAACTGCCTGTGGGCCGGTAAGGGAGATCTTTGATCTCCCCACCGGCCCATGGAGGCACACAGCAGGGCCGGTGCTCGGATAGTGCTGGCCCTGCAGGGGCTGTCAGGGGAGATCCTGTGTCCTCCCCTGCCGGCCCCGGCCCACGGATATCGCGGCCCACCGGGCATTTGCCCGGTATGCCTGATGGCCAGTCCGGGCCTGGTAAACACACACAGACTGCTGAATACTGTTGTGGAAATAAAATATGGACATATACACATATATCTTTGTAGTTAGTAAAATGTCTATTTACCCATTGCACTGAAATCAGTAGATAAGATATTCACGCATATTTAGACAAAATGGCTGCTAGAAGTTTCTAACCCCTCCCTCCTTATAACCTCGACTAACTACCTCGTGTAACAAGATGGCGCTGAGATCTGGGGGAGACCCTCATGGTCTTAGTGACATCACCTCTAGTAGGCAGAGCACTAAGATAACTACTTAACACCTAACCAATTGATACCGTATTATTCCATGTTATCTCTGACAATGCTTATGATGTAATTTTGCTTTAAAAGGGACTTGCCGTCCCCTCTGAATAAACATTCCTCAAGTTATTCAACTACCTGAAACTTGTGTCTGGTGTGAATTACTTCAGGGAGCGTGCACGCATTGTTTCATTAATTTGGTCAGGGGCAGATACACAAAGAATAATCAATCGATTGAGTTGATTTCCACTTCAATTGGCGCCCAACGTGGGGCACCGGATTTGCCGGCTCGGAGCAATGGACCAGTGCGGACCTCCGGAAAGTGGGACACCCGGAGCCTGATCACCTCCACCATACAGCCGTTGTCTGTATACTCCTGTTTTGTGTCGGTCTGTCTCCGCGTCCTTCCGGCATCCAGAAAGCTACTGGACAGGTAACATCTTATCCGGTGCTCTTTTTAACGGACCTGTCGATTGTCTATCTGCCTCCTGAGTGCTTATGTGTGTGTGAGTGACGGCCGGTGTATGTGTTTCTTTTAAAAATTTTAGCTTGACTGCCTAGCGGGCAGGGAACGCGACAGCCGGTAAAGGGCTGGGGACCACCCTTGTAGAGGGTTGGGGAATTGTGACAGCGCTGGGGACCACCCGTGAGATCAGGTTGGGGAATTTTTTTGACAGCCTGGAATAAGGGGCTGGGAATGTTATTTGATTTATATTGCATTGTTTGATTATGTACATGGCCATATTGCTCTCTGTTATTTTGTGGATTTTTTCAATTGTTGTTACAGTGTGGGTACCCTTGGTGTCTGTGTGTGTGTTGTATGGTTTGTTCTTGACTCTGGAGTGTACACTCATTTTTACGTTTGTGATTTTTGCAAATGTTTAATACTTAGTGTTGCTACCTTCACCTTCTCCCTCATTCTGTATCTGTCCTGTCTTTGTTGCCCTGAGCTGTGTTAGTCACCCACGCTCGCACCCTCCGGTCTGTGGCCACCACCCCCGGGTGTACAGACCATCGTGACTAGTCTACGTTTTGGGAAGACGCACGGGTCCCCCGTGGCAGTCGAGCACTGTAGACTTTCTTACTTTTTCTTCCCTCTTACTCGCTCCCCTCTACTTGGTAGACCACGCTTGGTCAAGATGGGGCAGGAACATGCTACACCAGCTAAGGGACTGCTTGTGATATTGTGAAAGAGAGAGCAGGGGAGGATGCAGTGTTAAAGATCAAGAAAATTTCTAAGGTTTGTGGTTTCCAGTTGCCACCTGGTGGTAGATTGCAGCCTGAGTTTTGGAGGAAGTTGCTTGTGGATAAGGAGGGGTTATTGTCTGATAACGGGTTAACCAAAGCAGTGGAGGCTTGGTATCGAGTAGCTAGGGGATTAAAGCGGGAGGGTTGGACAGAGGAAGAGCTTGAGTTTGAGGGACAAACGCTGTATGTGTATCATCGAAATGATTGTAATTCTAATGTTTCTCCTGACCACCCCCGGCCACCGCCCTATGATGGCGCCCAGACCATGCTGAACAGTACCCGCCCATCTTCCCCAGTCCATACACAGACGTCACCTCCAGGTGGCGTCACACATGGTCCCACCCCTTTGTGTCCCGTGCTTGGAGCCGATGGTACCTATTACTATCCATTGCCATTGCATCCCTTTCCCCATGCCCCTTTGGCACGGCCGTTCTCCTCCCCAGATCCGGTCCCTCCCCAGAACCTAATGCCAGTCCCGCCCCAGCCCGGTTACCAAACCCAATCCCAGCCTCTAGTACCTCCCTCGTAACCTCCTTGTTTGCCATCCCGCCCCCAGACGCCGCTTCCCTCCCTAGCCCTGTTTCTAATGCTTCCGGTTCCCCTACCAGCCTAGTGTCTTCCCTCCTCACAGCCCTCTCCGCTGCCCTCGAGCCTCCTCCTCCTCCTCCTCCTCCCTCACTTCCTGAATCCTCCCCTATTGTGGACCCACCTTCTCTCCCAGCTTCTCTCCGCACTGAGCTGTCTCCTCTCCTCTCCGCCCTCTCTACGTTGATCCAGTCACCCGCCCAGTCTCACGTCACCCCCTCTGACCTGGCCCCTACACCCACCCAGATAGCTCCTAACCCAAGCCCCGCCTTTCCCCTCATGGTGGTTGGTTCTAAAGAACCTGCTACGTCAGCCAAACCCCATGCCGTGGGCGTTTCTCCCGCGGCCTCAGGTTACCACCCCACAACGTCACAGCTGGGCAGTTCCCACAACACGTCACTTGCTCCTCAGACTCCCATTACCCCGGCTGTTCCCGGTCCGATTTCCCTGGGCGCTGCCTCTCACCAGGACGACCATGTCGCTCCATGTGACGATGACCCTGATGAAAATGGCCTATCTCCACCCCTGGGTAACAGGTCCCTGACACAGCCTGCAGCACGGATGCACCTCCATGTTCCCGCTCCTGCTACTGGGGCCCCTCCCATGTATGTCACTTTTAACCCCTCACAGGCCGCCACCCTTGTCACCTCTCTGTCAGGTTACCTTTGGTGTCTACCTCGGAGGAGGTTAGACACCTAGACGTCCATCCTCCTAGGGGGGCTGACTCACCCGATCCGTGCACTCCTCCCGGCCGTTTACACGCCGGCCGCGATAGCTCCGCCTCCTTTTATGACACGGCACTCAGTAGCCGACGTCATGACGGCAATCACGTTCCAACCCGTCAATCACGGCAACCAAGTGCCGAACAACGAATCAGGACTCGTTGGGGGCGGAGCCAACAGTTAAAGAGCCAAGGTATAAAAAAGGGTTCTGTGGAATGATTCATTGCCCTGTCGTGGTTCTAGCTAGTCTGGTCACTCAGTGCACTTACCTCTATTGTCTTTTGGTTCCTGACTCGGCTTGTATTTTTGACCCTGCTTTCCTCTCTTGTCCTTTTTTACTCGGCTTGTCTCTCGCTTACCTGATCTCTCGTTCCCTCGACCTCGGCTTGTCTCTGACTATTCTTTTGCTTTCTCCTTACGTTAGTCCGGCCATTCTAAGGTCCGGTATACGTACCTATCTCCTGTTTGTATTCTGCGTGTTGGATCCCTGTCACGATCCTGACATTACGACAGGGCCAATGGATCCTGCAGGTACAAACTCTCAGGTCGGTTCTCCTGACTCTAGATTTGAGGCCATGGATCATAGAATGGACCAGATGGCTCTAGCTCTGCAAGCATTGCTATCTCGTCCTAGTAATCACTCAGAGGAGATGCGTACCCCATCTATCTCTCCTATAAGTACAGGCCTAGAGGTAGCCACAGTGGCTACTTCTTCCCGTGTTACGTCCCCGTCACGCTATGGCGGCGCTCCTGACACTTGTCGAGGTTTTTTAAACCAGATAGGTATTCATTTTGAGTTGCAACCCCACGCCTACCCTACTGACAGGGCGAAGGTTGGATTTATAATCACCTTGCTCATTGACAAGGCACTTAGATGGGCTAACCCCCTGTGGGAAAATGATAACCCGTTAGTTTACAATTATAATGCTTTTGTCGCTGCATTTAGGAGAGCTTTTGACCCCCCAGGAAGAAAGGCCAATGCAGCTAGACTACTGTTACGTCTTAGACAGTATAACCGAACCCTCGTGGATTATGCTTTAGAGTTCAGATCCTTGGCGGCAGAAGTCAAGTGGAATGAACAGGCTTATATGGACGTATTTATGAACGGGTTATCTGATGAGATTTTAGATGAGGTGGCCACAAGAGATCTTCCTGAAAATTTGGAGGATTTGATTTCATTTATTTCCCGAATAGATGAACGTATGAGACAGAGGCAGAATATTCGGGATAGAACCCGCAGATCCTCCATAAGACTAGCTCCCTCATTTCAGAGTTCTGATTCTACTACTTTAGCTCTCCCAGAACCTATGCAAATCGACTCTCAGAAGAGGAAAGACAGTACAGGAGAAGGGAGGGGCTTTGTATGTATTGCGGAATTAGAGGTCACCTACGCCTAAATTGCCCTAACCGGCCGGGAAACGCTCGCACCTAAGTTTCTCAAGAGGACAGGCCTTGGGTGTTTCTATCTTGTCCTCTATATATGATTATAAAGATCATAGGCTTCTGATACCTGTTTCTTTAGCTTGGGAAAAGGGAGTACTTAATGCTATGGCTTTGATAGATTCCGGAGCAGCTGAAAGCTTTATTGACCAAGCCTTTGTCACTAACCATTCTATCCCATCTCAGCTAAGGGATACACCCTTGGCCGTTGAGGCCATAGATGGTAGACCATTATCTGAACCTGTTATTTTTCGTGAAACCATACCAATTAAGTTAACCACTGGTATCCTTCACGAGGAAAGAATATCCCTCATGCTGATCTCATCTCCTTCAGTTCCTATAGTCTTGGGGTATCCCTGGCTTAAGAAGCATAACCCTATCATTGACTGGGAACTGGGTGAGATAGTCTCCTGGGGTCAGGGTTGCCAGAGAGGATGTTTACAGAAAGTCTCACCGATTTGCATGGTTGACGCCCCGGTTAACTCTTCCCAATCTACAGATTTACAGATACCGTCTCAGTACCTGGATTTAAAGGCAGTCTTTGACAAAAAGAGGGCTGATACTTTACCTCCACATAGGTCTTTCGACTGTAAAATTAGACTCCTACCTGGTACTATGCCTCCGAGGGGTACGGTATATCCTTTATCCACTAAGGAAAACTTAGTCCTAGAGGAGTACATACGTGAAAACCTAGACAAAGGATTTATTAGGAGATCTTCTTCTCCGGCCGGGGCCGGTTTCTTTTTTGTAGATAAAAAAGACGGCACTCTACGGCCTTGCATTGATTATCGGGGCTTGAATAAGATAACTATTAGAAATGCTTATCCTATTCCTTTGATTACTGAGCTCTTTGATCGACTGAAAGGCTCCAAGATTTTTACCAAGTTAGATCTGAGGGGAGCTTATAACTTGGTGAGAATTCAGCAGGGAGACGAATGGAAAACAGCTTTCAATACCCGTTATGGCCACTATGAATACACGGTAATGCCCTTCGGGCTTTGCAATGCACCTGCAGTATTCCAGGACCTTATTAATGAGGTTCTTAGGGAATTTCAGCATGAATGCGTTATAGTATATTTGGATGATATACTAATACACTCTAGAGAGATTGAGACTCACCACAGACAAGTCAGAAGGGTACTGCGCAAACTGTTACAACATGGATTGTACTGCAAATTGGAAAAGTGTAGCTTCGATCAATCTCAGATAAACTTTCTTGGCTACGTTATTTCTGGAGACAGATTTAGGATGGACCCCATTAAACTCCAATCGATTTTAGATTGGCCATTGCCCAGGGGACTCAAGGCCATTCAGAGATTTATCGGATTCTCCAATTATTATAGGCGCTTCATTAAAGGTTACTCTTCTATTATTGCTCCTATTACCAATATGACTAGACAGGGTGCTGATACCAAGACTTGGTCTACAGAGGCTCTCTCTGCTTTCAAAACACTCAAAGAACATTTTGCCTCAGCACCGATATTAGTTCATCCTGACACATCTTTGCCTTTTCTACTCGAGGTAGACGCCTCGGAGACAGGTATAGGCGCTATCTTGTCCCAAAGGCTAGGTTTGGATAAACCGTTACATCCATGTGGTTTTTTTTCCAAGAAATTATCTGGGCCTGAAAGTAGATATGACATTGGTGATAGGGAACTGTTAGCGGTCATTATGGCTTTAAAGGAATGGAGGCATTTGTTGGAGGGGACATTATACCCGGTTACTATTTTGACGGATCACAAGAATTTGTCCTATATAGGGGAGGCCAAGCGCTTGTCCGCCAGGCAAGCTCGTTGGTCCTTGTTTCTGACACATTTCAATTACGTGCTCACTTATAGACCTGGTTCTAAGAACTCTAAGGCAGATGCATTGTCCGCCAACATGAACCTTCTACGGTGTCTGAAGCAGCTTTGTCTTCTATCGTTCCCAAGTGTAATATTATTGCCAACACGTGTGTCAGGATACACTCGCCGTTGCTTGCTGAGATCAAGAAAGTACAACATCTAGCTCCCAAACCTGTTCCTGGGGCTCGATACTTCGTTCCTCCTGACCTCCAAGTGGAACTGCTGCATTGCTTTCATGACAGTAAAATTGCTGGGCACCCCGGCATACGCAAAACGTGTTCCCTGATTTCTAAAGATTTCTGGTGGCCTTCCTTTCGTAAGGATATAAGGGATTTCGTCGGGGCATGTGCTGTCTGTATGAAGACTAAGCAACCTCATGCGCTCCCTTGTGGACTTTTGCACCCCTTAGAAATTCCCGAGAGACCATGGTCATGTTTGGCTATGGACTTCATTGTCGATTTGCCTGTTTCTAAAAAGCATACTGTTATTCTCACGGTGATTGACAGGTTTACTAAAATGGCTCATTTCGTGCCCTTGCCTAAACTGCCCTCGTCTCCCGAATTAGCTGAGATATTCGCGAGGGAGATTTTTCGTTTACATGGTATTCCCTCTGAAATTGTTTCTGATAGAGGTTCCCAATTTGTTTCCCGCTTTTGGAAGTCTTTCTGTTCTCACTTAGGCATCAAGTTGAATTTCTCATCTGCCTATCATCCCCAGTCCAACGGAGCTGCCGAACGCACCAACCAAAAGATTGAACAATATTTGCGTTGTTTTGTTTCTGAACACCAGGACGATTGGGTTGGTCTGATTCCTTGGGCAGAGTTTGCACACAACAATCTCGTTTGTGATTCTACTCGTTCTAGCCCCTTTTTCTTGAATTATGGCTTTCATCCTTCCATTCTTCCGTCGGTTTCCCCTTCCCAAGGGGTTCCGTCGGTTGATGTTCATGTCGCCAATCTGAGAAAGTTGTGGGATCAGACTCGACGAATTCTTCTTCAGAATTCCATGGTGTTCAAACGACACGCTGACAAGCGGAGACGGGTGGCTCCGGTTTTTGCCCCGGGTGATAGGGTGTGGTTGAGTACCAGAAACATCCGCTTGAAGGTTCCTTCCATGAAATTTGCCCCTCGTTACATAGGCCCTTACAAGGTTCTGTGTCGGATTAACCCGGTTGCGTATCGTCTTGCCCTTCCGCCTGCCCTGCGCATCCCTAACTCTTTTCATGTTTCTTTGTTGAAGCCTTTGGTTTGTAACAGATTTTCCTCCGCTGAGTCCTCCTCTCTCCCTGTCCAGGTTGAGGGTCAGGAGGAATATGAAATCAAATCCATTCTCGATTCTCGTATTTCTCGGGGGAAGTTGCAATATCTTGTTGACTGGAAGGGGTATGGGCCTGAAGAAAGGTCTTGGGTGGGCCATGAAAATGTGCATGCCCCTCGTCTCCTCCGGGCATTTCATGCTCGTTTTCCGTCTCGCCCCGGTTCCTTCCGCCCGGTGGGCGTTTCTGAGAGGGGGGGTACTGTCAGGTTACCTTTGGTGTCTACCTCGGAGGAGGTTAGACACCCAGACGTCCATCCTCCCAGGGGGGCTGACTCACCCGAT